CTATCTTTTCTTCTACAGAATCTGAGGCTTATCAAAACTCTGTCACCCAAGATTCTGTGCAATTTTTCAAGCTGCTGGAATTTTTTTGATCACTGTTTATACCAGTGCATGCTAATATATTCAGAGAGATTCTACGAAGGAGGTGTCCTTGCTTTTCTTGACTGAGTTTCTGAATTCCATCATTAGCCTCAACATCTCTGCAATTATCCATATCTGGTTATTAACATGTTATTTCTACATTCCTCCTCCTCTTCTCCTTCCTCCCCCAACCCCATCCTCTGAATTGGAAACTGGGAAACTGTGAGATTCTTAAAGTGATCATTATTTCAGTAGCAGCTGGTTCTTAACAGCTCTGGGTTTGTGACAGAGGTGACGGGATTTGTTTCTGTGGTTGCAATGTCCTAATTATATTCCTAATGGATCACAAGTTCTGGAATAAAGTGATGTTACATATTGTAGTGTCTGCAGGGCAGCATTTTATGGTAACGCTGGAAACATCTCACTATAACATGTGTAGCCAATGCATTTACTGTCATTAGTTAACCAAGCAGCCTGTGTGCCTCTTTCAGCTCCCTGACCCACATTTTATCCACGCTCTGCTGTTTTTCCCCTGCAGGGTTATTTCCTGAATAAAGCCCAGAGCTTATGAGTCCCCCAGCAGAGAGCTCTGTTCTGACCTCCCTAAACAGGCAGTTTCACCTGCTGGGCTAGTGTTTTTCTGCTTCCTCGTCAATCTGTTAAGATTTTAGCGGGAGATTCTTGGATACCTTTTCACAAAACATATGGGAGACTGTAATTACTTTGGCGTGGTATACTTTTAGAATTGAGAGGGCAAGGAAGGGGTGCAAATCTTCTGTTCATAAATAACCAAATCCATGGGCATTTTAAAAGGCATTCTGTGCAGCAGGAGAATTTATGGGCCACATTTCACCCTTGGCACACTTTCCAAATGAATTGTTCAAAGAGAAGTTATATTAGGACAAATAGAAATGACGACCAAGACCAGATGTGGATTTTTAGTTAATATTTATGCAACACCCACAGGGAAGATGGTATTGCACAATAAACTAAAAATGTCTTAGGCAAATAAGGAAATCTTTACCCTGAGGAACTGGCACTGCGAAGGTATGAATTCTACAACAAAGGACAGGGAATGCAGAACAAATGCAGGGTAGGTCGGGGCAGCTATAAAAAAGAATTCATTGAGGAAGTGGTGAGGTAGCAGATGTGTGGATCTACTTCAGGAAAATAAGGGCTTAGCACTCTTTTGGCCCTTCTTTTGTCTAAGGTAGAAAACGCAAGCCAACCAGCCTAATTTCCTTCATCTGTGGAGAGCAACAGTAGCTTTAGACAGAATGTATATACATATTCGAAACCAAGGCAGTAGTCTCACACTAAGTATGTTCCTCTTAAACTAAAAGGCAGTATCCCACATTTGATATGATGTCCAAGGATAGTGATGACATCTTTAATCTGATTCCTCCCCCCTGTCCTGCCTCCCAGAGCTGTTTAAGGAAGAGAGAAAATGCAGGTATTGGCTGCTTCTCAGCCTTTGGAGAGCAATCGGAAAGCGACCAAGACTTACTGCACTGGAAGAATATTCAAATCTACATTAAATTATAATAGGGAAATTTGTTAAAAGGAATTGGATTTCTCAAACAGCTGGATTTTCAGCCTTCCATTCATCAGGGACTGCAAGATGTGCCCCTTTGTAGCATTTCTCAGTCTCCTCGGCTTCCAATACTGAGGAGTTGGGGGTAGGGAGAGAAGAAAAGGAGGAGGTGAAGGAATGTAGAAAATACTTAAGCCATTAGAGCCTTGAGAATGGGAGACAACTCTGAAAAATGCCTATAAGCTTTTAGCACACTGATCCCGAACATACTTTTTATGCCTCTGAGTCCTCTTAATTATTAAAGAGAGCTGTCTCTGTGTGACTTCCCACCACAGGTTTTCTTGCAGAACTGATGCATTCTTAAGATGTTTTAAACTACTTCTTTCTTCTCTCCTTTGTTAATTCTTCTTTAACGTTAATAAAAAAAATCAGTTTATTCTCTCACGATGTAAGCTGGTGAATTTTTAGTTACAATGTTTCTGCAGAGCACATTTGTTTATTGTCAGCCTTTTTTTGTGTGTGTGTTGTTTTTAGCTTATTTGACCTGTCCAGATGTTAAAGTGTTTGGGTATTATGTGGAAAACAAGACTGATAGATCCCTGCCCTCTTAGAGCTACCATTTTAGTGGTGATTCCAGATACAATGAAGACTATGAAGAAAATAACTCAGGGTAGGGATAGATTGGGCAGGCGGGGAGGCTACTTTATAAGGTATGGGCAGGGAGAGCCTTTCTGAGGTGATGACATTTCAACTAAGACTTGAGTGCTGAGAAGGAGCTCAAGAAGATCTGGGGAGAAATCATTCCCATGTGGGAGGAAGAGAAAGTGGTAAATCTCAGAGGAGAAGGATATCTTCATTGCCAGAGTGCTGGAGCTTCATGTGAAGGGAGGGAGGGAGGTAATTAGGGCCAATGAGGGCCTGGCTGGCCGCGGTAAGAATTAGAGTTTTATTTGATGTGTAATGGAAAGTCACTCAACATTGTTAAGTATGGAAATTGTAGGTTTTCAAAAGAACCTTCTATCTAATGCCTTAAGACTGTGGGGCAGGTGTAATGGCAACAGTGGAAGTTAGACCACTTAGACGGCTACTGACTTAGTCCACGCAGGACATGAGGGTAGCTTGGATTAGGGCTGCAGTACTGTGGGTGTGATGGTAAAGATCTAGGTGTTAGTTGACAACTAAAAGGAAAGGCAGGAGTTGGAGAACATAATTAATAATAACTATGGCAAACACTTTTCTTGCTCTTAGGACTCTTGTAGGTGCTTCCTAGTTAACTATTTTCATCTTCATAGTAATAGTACCCACTGATAGTTATCATTATCATCACTGTTACATTTGTGAGAAAACTGAGACCCAAAGGGTTAAATGACCGGCCACGTGTTGCCCAGATAATAATAGCAGAATGGGGACTCAAACTGTAGGGTGCTCTTTCTTCCTCCAGAGTTCTAGGATCATCTAAGTGCTGTGAAGAGGGCCGTGATGGATCAATTGAGAGGCTTTAAAAAAAAACCTTTTCAACAGTGAGCAGAGGTTACTCAGTAACAATAAAAAGTGAAAGATCAATTCCTGCTTTTAAAGATACAATTCCTTTTTACATATGTTCTGTTTTTCCCAGGGCACGTGTGTCATGATAGGTGTGATGAGTAGTTATCATTTTATCTGTGTCAAATCAGGAATAGATGGAGATTTGTAGTACAGACACCCAAACCACAGTGCAAGTGTCTGCTTTTCAGGCCACTGACAGACACCCAAGGGGCTCAATTTCTTGCCGCAGTTTTGGAGAGCTTGTTGTTTAGATGCTGCCGCTGGAGGGAGGGGGAACGACGGGGAAGTCAGCCCTCTAAGGGGTCGTTTCCCATGCATTGTGACTGCCATGCAGCAGGGGGCGCCTCAGTAGTATTCATCGCGATCCACCACAGCCACTCCTCCAGCAGAAAGGGCCAAGCCAGGAGGAGGCGCAGCGGGCAGGCCTTGGTCCTCTTTGGTCTTGCAACTTTAGTACCCAGAGCTCGTTCTACACAGGCCATTCTTCTACACCGTATTTCATCATGTTGGATGTCTTCCATCCCGTTCTGTATCCGGGCGGAAAGGAAAGGGCAGTAGCTTCCCGCCTTCCTAGGTTATAGTGCTATAGTGGGCGGTAGAGGCGCCTCTTCCTATGTTCTTTGACAGTCTCTCTGAAATCACAAAAGGCCACCCCCCGACCCCGCACGTTGTGCCTTTCTTTACTTTTTTTGTTTTTTGCTTTCTTTTTAACCTACTGCGGGACCATTGTCCTCCCCACACAGCTTTCCATTCACATTCGGGACAACGGTAGGCTCCAAGCTGAAATCTCTCCCTGCTAAAACCCTTCTACCCCCCAATACCCCCCTCCCATTTCGGTTCACAAAGTGAGCGTGTGTAAGAGGTCACTTGTGTGTCTGTGGCAACCGAGGCTGCAGTACTCGCCAAACCTGTTCTTCCTCTCCCGGTCCCCAGAAGCCTCCAGGTGACTGGACTGACGCCTGGCAGCGCTTGGGTTGAGAACCAGCCCGTGCCAGGCTCCGTCAGGCAGTAGCCGGGCGAGCGACTGCATCCTCCTCGGTCTGGTTTCTCCTCTAGCTCCCCCTCCCGGGCTGTGTTCCAGCCGTCGCCCTAGGGTGTCCGAGGCTCTACACAGTGAAATCGAAGGTGAAAGAGACTAGAGGAGGGCGGGAGGTGGGTGGGAGGAGCCTGCAGCCTGGGGTAGTGTGGGAGGAGCCTTAGGAGATCTGGGTGGAGAAAGGGGCTGGGCAAACTCGCGACACAGGGTTGGCCACGCAGGCGCGGGGGGCAGCGCGGAGAGCCCCACGCGGGAGCTTCTGGAGTCTCCAGCCACCGCTTCTCTTCACTGGAGAAGGGGCTGGGACTGGCAGAGAGCTAATAAAGAGTGAATGAGCTGCAGCCGCTGTGGCGGCCGGAGTCAGCCCAAGCAGCACCCGATCCTTGCGCTCGGGCGGCGGCGAAGGGAGGCGGTTCGCCGTGTCCCTCCCACCCGCCCCTCTTTTTCTCTCTTCCTCCCGCTGGTCCCAGAGCCCGGCTCGGTCCGGTCCCTCTGCCCCCATCCCGCACTCTTCCACCTCCTCCGCTTCCCACTCCTCACCTAGGGCGCCCCGAACTGCCATGGGTTAGGGTGGGGGCCTCGATCCGCGGGAAGGACCAGCCCTGTGCATCCGCCGGGGGGCGCGTTGCCCGAACGCCGCTAGCGGGCTCCGGGCATGGGGAGCGCGGCTTGAGCCGGCACCCGGAGAGGACGCAGGAGCTGGGGCGACGCGCTGAGGAGGAGGAAGAGAGCGGTGGTTTGGAAGGACCCAAGGGAAGAAGGGAGGGATAGGTGGGAGGGTGGGGAAGCGAGGGAAAAGTGAAGCTGGGAGGAGAAGGCGGCGGACGGTGGGGATTGATGCTTCTGTTTTTTGTTGCCGCTGCTGCCCTCGCGCTGGGAGCTGAGCCGGAGGGAAGGCAGTGGAGAGATGATTGCAGAGTTGGTCAGCAGCGCTCTGGGGCTCGCCTTGTATCTCAACACCCTAAGTGCGGATTTCTGCTATGATGACAGGTAAGGGGGTGAGAGTGAGGGGTGACGGGCTGCGTGGGGACTCCGGTTTAAGGCTGGAAGTGCGTCTAGGAGGAACTGGTCCGGCACCTGAATTAGGAGACGCCTAACATTAACACCTAAAGCAGAAACACCCGGGACGCGAGCGCGCTGGGCGGGCTGAGGGAGTTTGGATTCCTAGTTTGTAGCAGGTTCTCTGCCTTGCTTGTCGGCTCTTGGCAGACGTTTAAGTTTCTTGGCGGAAATCGCAGCAATTTGGGAAACTGTTTAATGAACGTATTTAAAAAAAGTCTTAGGTATTTCTTGGTGCAACAAAAGCACGTTGAGCGATTTTACGTCTGGGTTGGAAGGAAGCCGTTTCCCGCCCCCTAATAGATCTTCCCTGTAACGTTTCCGTTTATTGATGGGACGGACGCTTTTATTTCCCGAGGTTAAAACACACGTTTGACAGTTGCCAAAATAATGGAAAGATGATCGTACTCTGCTTCAACTTTCCCTTTTGACGTGTAGTATACTTTACTTTGAGCCAAGATAAGGCTGCTGATGGTCTCTCCTTCCCCCGCCTCTCGAATGGATGAAGTAGCACTTTATAAAAACCTGGGCTTTCATTTCTGTTTGGGAGTTGTACATTAGATGTTAGTGATTTTTTTGTGCTAATTGGGGAAGAGGACGCCTCTAGAGACTGAAATTGTCGTCTGCATTTGAGTTAGTTTGGGTGGCTAATGAGACCTGAACTGTTGTTAAAGAAACTGCATCGATTTCTGGAAAATGTCACAGTTGTGCTCGTGGCTCTACCTATTTTTTAAACGTTGTTAGTATTTAGAAGCTGATGAAAAGCTCCAATAGCCATTAGGGAAAATTTCAATTTGTGTCTTTCCAGTCACTTAATCTGATTACAATTAAAACAGATGCATAATTAAAATATATTAGGGAGAACAGCTCGCCTGGCTAAACTTATTAACTGTCCTGGGGTGTTTCATGCTCCATTGAAATTAAACTATCCAAAAAGTGAGCACAGATTTACTTTGACAGCTTTTCAGCAGCCTCTCTGGGCTATGGAAAGTGAATGGATCCCTAGGGTCAGGGCGAAGTAGTGAGTGAACTTACACAAAGTGGTTGATAGTGAGGGGAGGTGAAGGCAGAATCTTCTCTTGGTGGTAATTAGCCGTATTCTGTATTCTGTGGTGTGCCCACTCTCTGGCTGAAAGCATGGTCATGGATATATACCTTCAGTTAGCAAATTTTAGTTCACACAGGTCTGTTGTGAAATCCCCTGATAGTATCTGCAAAGACCTCCAGCACACCCTTCTTAATGCATTTTATATAGTGTCTATCAGAGACTAGCTGCTAGGAAGCCCCTGCTAGACATAAACTTTCCCTCAACTTTTAAGCCATATACAGATTTTAGCAATTATGCTACATTCTCTGATAAGTAAATGGTTTGTGAGAGGGGCTGCTTCTGTTACTTCCAATTTTGGGTTGCAATGCACCTGCTATTTCTAGAATAATGGGAAGAAAAAGCGTGCTTCCAAAGATGGGTGACTTTTCACAAAATAAGTTCATGGACAAATCTGGGCAGTTACTGGCTTTCTTGGGGACAGTTTGAACAGTAAGCACTTAAACCAAGATTATGCAGCTTATAAAAAATAACTTAATGTCATATTGCGACTATTGTAGACCACTGTGGTAAATCAAGCATTCCTCTTGTATTGTCTATTGCTGTCCAGTTCTCTAAAAATGCATGTCAGAAGAAACTATCCTGTGAAGATCAAGGGTGAAACTAACCTAAATTTGCATGCCCATTTTTCTGTAGATTTAGTGCTTATTTTGTTTTCTTTAATCATCAGCAAGAATTGTTAGGATTTTGTAATTTAGGGAGAATGGTGCAGTGTGATGATAAATTAGTTGTGCTTTGATGGTGGACAATCGTTATAAGTTCTTTACATGCTATAGTTTGAATGGAGTGTTAGAATTGCTGACTTCTCCCTTGATACATAGATTAATTGATAATTTGCCCATATCATCTAGTTGATAACATGTTCAATATGTGACATAGGATGTTGAAGGTCTGTAAATAAAAGTTATGCTTTTGCTACAATTTTAGAAGTATATTTTACTTTTAATTTTCTAAGTGGCAGAACTGTATATGCAATCACAAACTTGCTTTTTACATAGCCTGGAAATTATGAAATACATATTAATAGGATCATGGAACTTAACTTGGTGCCTGCATTGCATGTTCAGGTAATTCAGTGCCAAGGTGCACTGTTAAGTTGTGGTTTTCAGATACTAGTACCAACTATCTAACTTCTCTTGCTCATTGGGGTCTGAAGCAGAGAGAGAGGCCTGGGGAGTCAGTGGAAACTGTAGGATGATGATAATGTGTTTATTTCCACCACTCCATTTCAGACTACAAAGGCTCAAGTTTAAAACTTTGTTTAAACTACATCTGTGGATTCCACTGCCCCCCGAGGAACTTTTGTGAAATACAGCTTGGTAAGGAGAGGCCAGTGCAGGAAGCCAGAGAGCAGCGCTGAGGGCGGGAGGTGGCTCTCATGCTTGACTTGCTTAACTAAATCAAGACTGTGCCTTTTAGCTGAAGAATCTGGCAGTTACTGTAGGAGGGCTTTATATTGCTTCAGCTTAAAAATTATTGCTGTGGTACTTCTCAAAGTTATCATTTCTTTTAAGTATAGTGATCAAGTTTACTTTATAAACTCTCTATATAATTACTTTCAGTGTTTGATGTAGTTTGGTTGAGATTAAGTGGTAATCTGAAACATTCTTATAGCAAAATCAATTTCCCTATGGTAAAATTTAATATTTTACAAGTGTTTTTCTGTGCTAAACTCAAGAATATGGCTAAGATGTGATGAAACAAACAGTAAAAGAGTAGAATTCACCCTGTCCGATGAAAAAGCATATAAGGTTTCAACTTCATCCCCCCTTCCCTTGCCTTCAATCTAGTAATGATTGTATTGAATCTTAAGTTGTGGTCAAAATTAGAATTATAAATATGCAGTCTTTGCCAAATTTTAAGTCATGTTGCATATGTCTTCTTGAAGGACTCTCTCTTTTTTTTTTCTTTGAGAAATTTGGTGTTTAGGTCAGTGGAAAAAACTTGCTGACCCAAAATTCTCTGCTGTCTTATGTATTTGTTGAGAATAATAGTACATCATTTCCCGTTTAGCCTCTTTAAAAATTGTACTGTTAAAATGCTTGTATAGAGATAACACTAAAAGACGAGTCAGTTTACTTCAAAGTAACAAAAGTCAACCCTGTTGGTAGTCTGACTTTATTTTGTGCATACCGTCTAATTAATGGCATACCCTTTATGTTATATACCTAGAAAATAAGATAATGCAACTAATGTAGGTTTTTATTCTAATGTGAATAAAATAATGCATTCATTATTAAAAAACAATTTGAGATTTTGAAAGTGGGAAATGGTTTGAGGCTGCTTTGAAAATTATTTTCCTTATTGCTGATTTTGCATTTATGAAGCTCAACTGTGATCGTTAACATTACCTTTAAGTTTTTTAGCTATTCCATTTTGCAATAACTGTGGCAAACTTGGAGAAAGAGCTCCATGGCAGAAATTTCTAATCTTGAATTAAAACTACTCCAAACTCATAAGAGAACATTCCTGATTTAGTTATTTACTTGGGTATAAATGTAAATCTTACTTTTGTTTTAAAAAGATACTATTTTATATTTAGAGAGAGGGTAAAGGAAGGTAGAAAGAGAGGGAGAGAAATTACAGATGTATGAGAGAAACATCAGTCAGTTGCTTCATACACACGCCCCACCTGGGGACCTGACCCGCACCTAGGATACGTCCGGACTAGGAACTGAACCGGTGATCCTTAGCTTTGTGGGGCAGGGCTCAACTGAGCCACTCTGGTCAGGGCATAAATCTTAGTTTTTATGGAAACACTAGTTAGGATGTTTTTTCCTTAAAGTCATTGATAAACAGTATTTAAAAAGAAGGAAGATTTAAGGCATGTTAACAAGTTGTTTAAAACTTTTTTATCCGAAAATATTCAGCTATTCCTTCTACTTGGTCTTTAATGTAATTGTCAGTTTGGGTTTTTGGCTTGGGGTGATCCTCTGTGAAATGATAGTCACTCTGTTAACTTGCCCCTAAAAAGTTATTTTGAATAGACTTGCCTTGGACCAGTGTGTTATTGGTATTTTAAAATTCTAGTATGTTAAACCATTGAAGACATACCTGGTATTTAAAAGTGTGTTTATAAAGAATTACTTATAATATCAAAGTAAATAAGGGAGAAGTTTGCTTTGTATCAAAGGTTATCCTATCAGATCTATATTGGAAGAAGCCAATGTGTGCAAGAGTTTTTTTTTTACCCTAATTTCCCTCACAGTTTATAAGACTGAAAAAAATGCAAGTGGATACAATTTATAGTTTATGAAATATTTTATGTGACTTTTTATTTTGTTTTGATTGTTTAATCAAATCTTTGTAAATGGTTAATTTTGCTGTTTGAACAAGTACATCTCAACAGTAAATTAAAATTAAATTTAGGTGAAACCATTATGGACTGTTTTGCCTTACCTCCATTGAGACCGTCACATGGGATTTATTCTGGCAAATGACCCAAATACAAGCACCAAATGGACGTTTACAAATGCCATAGGGAAATTGCTTGCCAGCCATCTGTCTCTTAGTTATTTTCATATACATGTGTATTTTTGGCTGTATTATTCTATATTATCAATTTACATTGCGTTGTCTTCTGCACTTAGTTTTTGTGTTATTGTGCCCCTATTGTAACGCTGAATTCCCTGCTGCTATAACTCTGAAATAGTTCCAACCTTTGGGATTACAGTATGACACAGGAGTATGGTTTGTCTGCCTGATCTCTTTGTTGCTGTTCAGCACAGTAAAAGCACTTGTTTAAAATGCCTGTGATGGTGCAGCTGTTTATCACAGGCGATGGGCACATTTTCTCTAAAAAAGACACCTCCATAGTATTAGGAAA